CTAACTGGTATCCTAAAAACAGACAAAAAATAGGTAGGTAAGTTAGCCAAGGTAGCTCTTATTAGGGTAATTCTCCCAACTAAAGAGAAATAATTCCTCTTCCATGAGGCTAATCTCTTCTCAAACTTTTCTATCACTGGGGTCCAAAATCTACTCTCCCTAGGATTTGCCCCTAAAGGAAGCCCTAAATATGRCATAGGCCAAGTAGAGGTGGAACACTCAAGACACTCTGCAATAGCCTCGACCTCCCCTACCTCCAAATTTATACCCGCTATGCAGATCCTTTCCATCTTTGCCCGTTGGTAATGGGGGTAACAGTAGGGTCTGACGTTGGCAGGTGAGGCTCCCGGTTGTATGGGAATCTTATGATCATGGGCTCGTGGGGCGGAAAGGGTAATGAGCTCTTGGAAGATGTCAACATAAGTTTGGAGTAACAGTTGAAGCTGTTGTGTTTGTTTCGGGCTGAAGTTCTCAGTTTCGAAAGAAACAGCCGTGGGCCCAAGTGGCATTGAGCCCATACTCATTAGTAATGAGGTGGCATCGTACTGGCATTGTTTGAATATAGCAAACAAATCTTCTACTGTTATGGGCTGACTCTTAACCCCTTTCAAGGTATAGGTGCGACCCTCTTGTGAAAATTGCATGGTCAGCTCGGCCCAGTTACAAACCACAGGGCCCAAAAGCTGCAACCATTGTATTCCTAGGACCACGTCTGCTCCGGAAAATTCTAAGGGGTGCAAGTCTACCCTGAAAGTATACCCTTGAACCTTGAGTTCGACTGACTTGCATTTCCCGTCACAGGTAATTTGTTGATCGTTGGCCACATTGACTGCAAACATCGAGACTGCCTCAATCATCAGTCCTAGTTGTCGGGCTAACTCGGAGGTTATAAAATTTAAGAAACTCCAACTGTCAATCAAGATGGACACCTTCCTTCCTGAGATCTAGCCGTGAACCCGCATTGTTCGGGGGACCTGATATCCGGACAGAGCCTTTAAGGAAATAACACAGTATTCAACTTTAGGAACCACCTCCATCTGTTGAACCTCAGTGTCTTCGAGGGGTGGGTCAGGGTCACCTTCTCCATCAACTTGCAGAAGGTAGACATGTTGGGCCTTGCATTTGTGCCCTGCGACAAAATTTTCGTCGCAATTATAGCACAAGCCTTTTTCTCTTCGAGCCTGCATCTCTGTCCACGATAGCTTCCGGTAGGGTAAGGTCAGTGAGCCAGTTTTCTGGGTAGGCAAAATGGGCTTGGCAGTGGTGATCACCGCATTGGTAGGGGTTGGAAGTACGGGGCCCAGATTGCGCTCAGTTTTCAGGTAGGGGTTCCTCTATAATGGGCCCGTTGGAGGCCCTGCAAACCTTCCCAATTTCTTGAGCCGATCCAGCCTTTCTTCTTGTAATTTGGCTATACCAATAGCCGCAACCAATGTAGTTGGTTGCATGGTATTTACTTCAATTCTGATATCATCCCTCAATCACCCTATGAAACAACCCACTAGAGCAACCTCCGACCAACCATGAACTCTCGTGGCCAACCGCTCAAACTCGTTTTGGTATTCCCTTACCGTTCCCGTTTGCCTTACTCTAGAGAGGGACTCATTGAAGTTCTAATAGCCAGAGGGTCCGAACCTCACTCGTAGAGCCTCAGTGAGATCCAACCAGGTGGTTTGGGGATGGATCTTCCGGTACCACTGGTACCACATAATTGCTTCGCCATCCATGTGAATGGCAGCAATGGGAACTCTTTGCTCAATAGGGGTCTCATGAAATTCAAAATACCTCTCAGCCCGGTATATCCAGGGAACAGAGTCATCACTTGAATACAGAGGGATGTCGATCTTGGCGGCCTTGACAGGGAAGACTCCACCTCATCGGCTTCCGCGGCTACTACTGGATCCCTTGACCTCTGAAGCTCTGGGTGCCGTTGACAGTCGTTCACACTGACCAACCAATGTTGAGAGTGTTTCCTTGATGTCTCTCAACTCGTTGGTGGTCTGCCGCACTTCCCCTTCGATCCGGTCAATCCTCTCCTCAGCCGCCGCCGTTCTAGCCGTCAGCATGGAAGCTAGGCTCTGATACCAAATGATAGGGTTGTTGGTTGTGTTACAGAAGAAGAGCTGGTACGAGGGAGCTCACCCTCCTGAAATGGACGAGAGAGAGAGAGAGGAAGAGAAGAGAAGAGGAGAGACGAGAGACGAGAAACGAGAGAAACTCATAACTATTTCATTCATGCCACTCAATTGATTGCTACAGATATTTATAGCTGTCGATAGTAGCTTGTAACAACCCAATCGTGACCTGTAACAACCGAACAAACTCTGCTCAGATCTCTAGACGTGGACGATGCGTGTAAACAAATCTCAGAGGAGGTGTTGCTCGCCTGAGTCATGGGGTGTGCTGACCTGGGTCCGAAGTGTCTTGGGCTTGGGCCTGGCTCTCCATAACTGGGCCTGCTTCTGGGCCGGTCCTAACAGATTCTGTAGATCCATCTCTTTCGTCTCAATCCACTAATGAAGTCCCTGAAATTAGAGGCATTAAGGTTTTGTTTGATGTTCCTGTCAGTAATTCTCCTAGTCATGCTTTTGCATATTAGTCTCAATCCCAACCAAATACTTCATACACTGTGTCTACAACTACTCTAAATGTGGGAGAGGAGGAATGAGAGGTAGGGAATGGCTATGAAGCAAGGTACAAAATCACTATTTTGAGCTTATTAAAAGTGAGCATGATCTAAAATGTACACATATTTCCTAATATTTTCATGATATTTCCATTTCCATGCATACTGACACAAAATATTACTAGAATCAACATATTCCCAGTGAAATCTACCAGTGCCATGTTGAGTGCACAAGATGGTAGTATAACATAAGCAGGCAACAACACCATAGATACATGAGTAGCAAGTTCACTTACTTCTGTGATAGGAAACGATGATGTGGCCAACAAAAACCATTCATCTGACATGGAACCCACTAGATTGACCCAACATTCAATGTCACATTCCATATCGGTCCTTCTTTACCATTGACATGATAGTTCTATTAATTATAACATGAAAAGCCCATCCCAAATCAGGGAAAAAAAAAGCACAAGAGACGGCATATTGCTATGCCCCATTATATGCTTGACTTCCTTATGTTATAGACCCCATCCCCAGGTCTGAGGCTCCCCAAACCAGATCTAATCTTGTGATTCCATTCCTAGCCAGAGAATCAGCTTGACTATTGGCAGATCTTGGAGTCCATTTGAATGAGCAGTTCAAATAATGTGTTAATGTATTTGCCTTTCTAATGAGATGTCTAAAAGTAAAAGGTGAAGATTCAGAAGAAGAAAACAGGAAATTGCAGCCTGATAATCATTCCATATCAGCCCTATACCCAAACATGTATTGCACATTTTCCAAATTGATAATAGTCGTCCATGCTTTCAATCTTCAACATAGAGGTTTCTATAGAGGAGGCTCTATTTTTAACATATGACTAGGTCTTTGAGGCCAAAAATATTTTCAAGGAATGAAGAGTGGGGAAAAGAACAAGGCAACATTTTCTTAAAACCAAATTTGTCAGTTGATGATTTCCATGTTGCTCAAGGGAACTTAGCAAATGAACTGACCATAAAACCAATTCCCTATAAACACATGTACATATTAGTGGAATTTTGGATGACAATCATAGTGAAAACAAAACCAAACTTCTGCCTTCCATGAAAACTGTACTGGCAATGAATTATAGAACCATGATGTATTGGTCTTATCCAGACACTCAATAACCCAGCCAGCAACCTACTAATGTCTCATTTCCTAAGAAAACTGCTGAGCAACTGATTATGAAGTATGTCCCTTAAAGCTTAAACCATACATGGAGACCATAACATACTGACATGAAATGCAACTCACAATGCATAATAGTAATGAACTGTGGAAAGGAAGAACCTAAGGATTTCATCCAATACATGGAGAACACAGAAAGAAGTGATCAAAAAGGGCATGGGAAGGTCCTTCATCAAAAAAAAAGTCATGGATAGGTCCTTTGACAGCATTCATAAAAAGTGACCTGTTGTTGCAAGTTCAAGGGCTAGAAGGGGTAGGGATAGACCAAACAGGACATGGATCAAAGTAGTAAGAAATTATTAAAGACATAATAATTTAACAATGGATATTGCATTAAACAGAACGGAAGGGTGAAAAAGGATCCATGTCGCCAACCCCATATAGTTGGGATGAGGCTTGGATGATGACAATGATGATGATGACACAGAGCACAGAGGAACACCTTCTATCATTGAGACAGCATCCCCATTGTAAGCAAACTAACAAACTTGTGATTTAAAGAAGCCAATCTCCATTATCCTGTCAATTTCCCAATGACCCAAGCACTGCAGTATTTCATAAGCCACCCTCAGTGAGGAAAAGGAAAATGCAGATAAACGGTTGGAAAGTCTCAGTTCCCTCCAAAAAGATGTAAAAAAGACCAACTTGGTTCTCACTCAAGTTCAGAAAACAAGTCTGTGAAAGATACTTGATTGTGCTATTTGACAGATTGTAAAAATACCATGTTTATGAAAGTTGAAATTTCTAAAAAGAAGTGAAACAAAAAAGAAAAGAAAAGATAACCATTGACAAGTAGAAGTGTCCATCAACCAACGAAGTACATAAATGTGCATGCTAAGAAAATCATAAAAATTCTTCAGATGGTCCAAAAAAGAAGCAATAGAATAGCAAACTCAATACTTACGGAGGAGTAATGCTATCAGCCCACTGACGGAGCCAATCTGTTGAGATCCAAAAGTATGACTCCTCAAGTGGATGCACAGGGACTTCAGAAAGAACTGATCTTACTTCTTGTCTCCGTTCTGTAATATTCTCCACCTCCTTTTCTTTCTTCAACTTGTATTGTTGGCAAGTGTCATCGTATGATTCGTTTAATTCTTTTATCTCTTCAAGAAGATGGAATGGAGGACAATAATTATTACTTTCATAAACTAGCTTTTCAGGTGTTTCCATATTGCTGGAGCCACAGCCTGTGAGTTGCATGTTATCAACCTTCTGAATGGTTCTACGCTTATACATGAGCATATATGCATCAGCTGATGAAAACATCTGTACATCACCAGTGTTTATAAGATTTCCATTAACCGTGGAGTCTTTTTCTCCAGTGCAAGATGACTGCACAAGTGGCTCATTCCAAACAGGTTTAGCAGTGGAGGATGAGGATCCTTCCCCAAATGGGTGATCACCCAACATGGAGACATGCTCATCATCAAATTCCCACCACTGCCCAGTATGCTCATCCTTTATGTGTGCAACATAATGGCCACTGTTGACAGCATTTCCCTTGTGAATCAGTACAGCTGACAGGTCATATATCAGCTCCAACAGAGAGGGCTCAGATAACCGCCGTCCCATATCAAGCTCTCTAGGAAAGCTGAATAGAGAAGTTATTTTCTTCTTCGTTGTAGTCTACATTTTAAGAAAAAAAAAGAGTTGGAAAATGTAAGATGACCATAATCACAAGGATAGATGGTGGATAAAGATATTCTGCATTGACAAAGACCTTATACAAACAGGAATAACAAAAAAGGAGATACAACAGGGAGGTCCCCCCATATTTTTTGAAAAGTTGAGAGGTCCATAATGAGCCTTAAAAAATGCCAATAACAAGGTCATATAGTAACACCCAGTGTACTTGGCAGCAGGATAATGTCCTTTATAAATCCTTTATATAATTAATTATTTACAACCTCCTTCTGAGTTTTCTCCTTTCTTTTCCTTCCTTTGTTGTTCTGTAGCAAATGTTTTCCTCCACTCTCCAACCGTCAAATGTCCATAACAATTTTAAAAGCCATACATGTCAAGATGTCAAGTGGCATATAGAAATTGGACTTGGACCCATTGCTCAATTGATTGAAAGAAATTTACTGCAAGTCTGCAACCATAAAATCTTGTGTTTGGGTCTCATTTACTGCCACAAAAAGGGAAAAAGTAATAGAAAAAAAAAAAGTTGTAATTGATTTTTTTTTAAAAGTGTGATTTTATCTTATAAAAGGGAGAAGTTCCCTTCAAAATGTGTACAATAGTATAAGTATATACTTTATGTACAAAAACCAACTTTATAAAGCATAATCACTGTCTTCAATAATCTGTTGCCAATTGTTGCAGTGCCTGTAGTGAAAACAAGCAATGTCTTTATAGGATTTTGTCCAAAAAAACAAGTTGCAATTGATTAATCATCAAAAAGTTACACATAATGGCTTAGAGTTTGGCAAGGCTATGAAATTGAATGAAAGCCGGCTAGCTCCGCCTCCAAGGTCCGATGACACATCACTCTTCATGTGGACAGCCAATGTAGTATGGCTAGAAAAAGTTTAGAAAAATGGAAGAAATGTGAGAGGTGGTTAGGAAGAAGAAGAATAGGAGATAATGCACCAAGGCAGGATGGTCTCACCATGGATTTTATCAAAAAGGATGTGATTAAAGGTTTTCCACTCTCACTTGAATACCACATCTAAGAGAAGCCTAAATGCAAACTCTGCTATTCTGATTCCCAAAGTAAGGGAGGTATTCAAAGGATTTCAAACCTAATTAGCCTTATGGAAGGAAGAACAGCAAAATGGGATGGCAGACACATTGGCTAAACAAGGGACTACAAGACAACAAATTTTTTTGGCGAAAATCTGAAGTTTCTTGTGGTGGTAATCTCTCCACCTTGATGTAATTCCTTCCAAGGATCAAAGTATCGGTATTGGGTATCGTATCAGACAACTTGGATACGGATACAAATACGGAGATACACAAACGCATGGATGCGGACAAAAAATATAGAAACGCTTGGATACACTAGGAAAATGCACAGAAATTCCATAAATATATTAATAATATTAAGTTTAACATCAAAAAAATTATAAATAATATATAAATACATAGGAGCTTTATATTTTAATGGTATATAGGAAGAAATATAATACAACTAATATAGAGAGATGCATAGATCTTATGCAATTTTATTGATAGTGCATCAATCAAGAATCTAAGACATATATATATATATGCTTAGAAATTAATACATTACCAAAGTCATTATTATTTTATTTTCTATTAAAATCCAATGCACAAAACATATGCAACCATTCTATTTGAATTACTATATCAATATTTCTATTTTACTAATTTTATTTTTTAATATTAACAAAAAAAAATAATTCTCAAATAAATAAGTTATTTTCATTTCTAAAAAATAAATATGTTATTATAAAATGTAAAGTAAAGTATTAATTAATAATTTATAAAGTATATAATCTTAACTTAAAATATACCAAATCTATTGAAATTTTAAAGATATATATCATATTAAAATTCATAAATTTTAATTACTAAAATAATTATTCCATAATTAATATTTTATTTTATAAAATTTCTAAAATACAAAATTATTTTATTTGTATGTAAATGTAGATTAGTGGAATTGAGCAATTCAATTTATGTTATATTCTCAAATATTTTGTAAATAATATTTTTATTTTTTTAAATAGTAAAGACATTATTATTTAATGCAAATTAAAATATTAATCAATAATTTATAAAAAATTGAATATATATATATAATGTGCAAATTTATAAATTTTAAGTATTAAAATAATTATTCTACTAATAATAATTTTATTTGTATAAATTTCTTGAAATTAAAAATCAAACTTTGGTATATATGTAGATTTGATAAATTATTTATTCCATTGTTCATAAAATACAAATTTTAAAAATTATTCTTTTAATTTATAGTTGGAATTGTTGATATATATATTATTTATTTGGGTTGTATGTAGACTACTAGACGTTAATGTAATAAATATTAATGTGTTTCTTTTTTTATCAAAAAGTTGTAAGTGGCTTGGTGGTTGAAGAGACATGCTCTTGGTTCGTTTCGTAAGGTTAGTTCTATGTTCGAATCACGCGAGCCTCAACCTTTTTAAGTGAGATATGGTTTATACGATGGCATGGACGCGGACGCACGATACGCTGTTGTGTCGGTGCGTATTGGATTGTATCGCTCGATACTATACGATACGCGTCGATACAATACCGTATCGGACGGATATGCACAATAGGAAAAGTATGTATCCAGTCGTGACGTATCCTGTGCCAGTCAGGTCCGATTCCGATATGATACACCCCATATCGGGCGTACCGTATCGATATTTTAATCCTTGATTCCTTCTTTTTTATGCATAATAAAATTTTTCTTCATTGATCAAAAAAAATTGTGTTATGGGAGATTCACAGAATTTTTGCAACAAGTGCTGCCAATTTGCTCGGGGAAAGTGCTTCTGTCTCTCATATTTGTTTTTGAAGAGTAGAAGAATTTTATTAAAAAAAAGTGAGTACAATCTGATTGGGTGTCAAGGTGACACACCAGTACAATTAATCCAAATGAAAAGGATCCACATTACAAGCTCGAATCTTAAGAAAATCCCACAAGTTTTCCACCAAATCTGAGTTGTTAATTTGCTCAAAATCTGGGATCCAATATAAAAGGTGGTTTTGTCCCAAGGAAGCAGATTCTTGATGGTGCTTTTGGCTAATGAAATTATTGATTCAAAAATTAGATTGGGTAAGCGGGTATTATCTGCAAGTTGGACTCAGCGAAAGCATATCACCATGTATTGGCAGTTTCTGGACTATTTGTTGGGTAAAATGAACTTTAGTTGGAAATGACATTGTTGGATGAAACTTCATTTATCTACTTCAAAGTTCCCTTCCTTATGAATGGGGATCCAAAAGGTTTATTTGAAAATCATAGAAGCATGCGATAGAGGGATCCTCTCTCCACTCTCCCTTTTACTTGTGTCATGGAAGCTCTCCAAAAGTGAACCAGCAAAAGCAAGGTAGTTGAAGAGTCTTTGGAATTTAGGTAGGGAGCAGAGAAAGTCAACTTTCTTTTTCTTTCTTTTTTTTTTATCAATAACTGTAACTTTCATTAAAAAGATAAAGAAAAAAGACTACAAAACAGATGGAGATAAAACAGCTTTTTTTTTTTTTGATGAATGAAAATAATTTATTAAATCAGAATATAAGGCAATACAGGAAACCCATGAAGAGGCACGAGCTGTTACCTCTTGTTTTTTTATAAAACAGCTTATGTCCAAGCACATAAAGACAAATTTACAATTGAGCACAATACATTTGATTTCTCTCAACCCCTTGTTTTTTCCAAAGCGACAGCCATACTGTTAGCTGTCCTTTAGACACAAAGAAATCTCACATTCATTTCCCTAGAAACCCATTTAATCTTCTTTAATTCATTTTAGTACATCCATAAGCCATCTCCCTTGTTTTGTAGCCACTTGATCACCAATTGGGAATCACCTTCTACAATCAGCTTGAGCACACCATTTCCTTTCCTTTGACTATTCCTTCCACAGCTGCCATTACTTCAGCCTTCAAACAATCCCCAATACCAAAGACCTAAGAAGAGTGCCACTACATGACCTGGCTCATTTCTGAATATGCCTCCAATACCTGAAGGGCCTGGGACCCCCCTACTACTGCCATCAAAATTCAGTTTTATGTATCCCTCATCCAGTGGCATCCATGACATGTTCAATCTGAATTTCGGAGGTGAAGAACCACCCACCTCCCTCCCTCCCCTCCCTCGCTCCCTCTCAAGGAAAATTCTTGCATTTTTCTCCTCCCAAAGAATCTAAGTTACTGCAGCTCTTATACACCTCTACATGGTCATACCTCTCTTCTTTAGACAGACAAAAAATGTGGAAGCATATAGGTTTGACAAGTTGGATGGAGAAATCCACGTGCAACCAAAGCAAGAAGCCAAACCCAAATACCAGTAGCAAGTGGGCAAGATATTAGTAAATGAAAGAAGGATTCTCCATTAGCCTTACAAAGGACAAGCCAATGAGGAGATAAAGACGATTGAGGTCTCCCTTTCTAATAGCAAGTCACAGGTGTTAATTTTCTCATGGTAAACCTCCCAATTGAAGGCTCCCATTCTAGGTAGAATTGGTTTACACCATATCTCTTTCACTGGAAAGTGTTGTAGAGGGGTCAAAGGATAGGTTAGAGCCTTAAAAAAAGAGCCATACGAGAAGGAACCCCAAAAAGAGAGAAGTCAACTTTCTTCGATTTGCCAATGATAATATCTTTCTCCTAGAGGTCTCTCAAACACAGTTAATACACCTTTATGGGGCTTTGCAGTGGTTTGAGGTGGTTTTGGCCTCAAGAAAAATCTTAAGAAGAGCTCTATCATTCCAATGGAGAAGGTGGGAAGGACAGAGGAGTTGGCAACAGTTGCGAGTTGTGGCGGGTCTTTTTTAATATTCTTTTTTAGAAAAGGTAAAGTATATTTTTTTGATATCTTCTGAAAAGGTAAAGTATATTGATTCATGTAAATGAGATAATTACATCTGTATACTAATATGGCTGTATACAAATGTACTCCAAGTAGGTACAGCTATCAAGTATGTTCAAAAATAACATCAAAGTCAAAGAAAGCCGTAAATGAAATGTCCTTGAATATAGGATTGACAGCTATCCATGACCAAAGAGTGCCTATTATCTTGCTCTTAAGTATCTCAATAAAGCAAGCTTTGTTGTGGAAGATACAATCATTTCTTTCCTTCCAAACCAACCAAATGATTGCAGATGGGACAGATTTCTTTAGCTTCCTGCTCCTTTTGCTAAGGCCCTTTAACTGCCAGCTCCAAAAAAGCATCCTCAGGCTTCTGGGTCAACACCAGCTCAGATTAAAAGCCTTTAAAAAGGAGTACCAGATCTCATAAGTAGCTAGGCAGTGACTATTGCTTCCCTCATACTGGAACAGAGCACACAACTTGCATTAGCTCCTCAAGATCAAATCTTATAATATCCCAACAGTCTTGATAAAAAGCCATCAAGAAACCATCTGGACCTGAACCTTTTGGTCTCTCCATAGAGAAGATTGCTTCTTCCACTTTTTGAACCTCGAACTTTTTCTCCAATTCATCCATCAACACCCTATTACCAACCTGGCACTCCAACACTTGCAAACTACCTCTCGCTCTACCCAAACTATCATAGACGAATTTAAAGTGGTCCATAAAGACTTTGTATATATCATCCCCACTTGTTAAAGTTGATCCATTCCATTCCAACCTAGAGTCACCAAAACATGGAAAACCTCATATTACCATCCCCTTCCTTCCTTAAGCCACCAGCACCTTGATTTTTGTCTCCAACTCATCTCCTCCCTTCTCAAGTTCTCTTCTAATTCATGTTTTAACTGCCATCTTTCCTCTCTCCCTTCCACCCCCATCCCTTTTTCATCTTCATCTACTCCTATATCCTATGGGCAATCCATTCTTTTGTCTCACCACTAGCCTATTAATTCATCCAATCCCTCCACCTCCAACCAGGGGTGCCCAAACCAAAAACGAGATGGTTTTATTTTGATGCCTCCACAATCCAACATCAAAAGAGTATATAACCTAACAAAGGTCTAGGAATTGACTCTTGAGTGACTCCAGGGCACATGTACTCCTAGTAAACTAGGATGAAAAATCTATCCAAACTTACCAAAGTTGAACTCTCTCTTGATTATTCTTGATTATTTGTATGGGTAAAGCCCACTTCGTCCAGAGGAAGGTCAACCATTTCCCACCTTTGAACAAAGTCGGCAAAACTTCTCATGCCTGTTGTAATCCGATGCCTTCTACTTCTCTAATTTACAAATCCGGTGACATTAAAGCCACTCCCAATGCACCAAGGGTAGTTCCATGTCAATCTTACCCTGCCCAGCCCCATCCATAGTTGCTCCCTTAAAGCATTATCATTTGGTCTATGACCATCACCATCCTAACTGAAAACTAGAGGTCCTCAAAGAGACTTCTCAAAAGAACTGAAATGGAGAACATACCTACCTCTTTTGCCAATCGGATGGAACTTCTGTGACACCTAAATAATTACCGTTCCACTTCTAGTGTTCATGGATGGATTAAAGACATAATCGTTTGGCTGAGGCCCTCAAACTCTTCTAATTAATCTGGCATTAAAAGACTACAGCTTCATCTTCTACAACATCAGGGTTTCTAGATTCCACCTCTTTAGAAAGCCACATGTAGCAGTTCTCCTACCCAATCCCAAACCTCTAATATTCCAGTTTATAATCTTCAAGTTCTCCATTTATCTAAAGATAAAAGGTCTTTCCTTTCCTGATGCTCCTTAGAGTGCTCCTCACATTATCATTTAAACCCCAGGCCAACCCAAACAACTCCGCTACTATGTGCCCATTCTTGCCCTTTTCCATGAGAGTCCTCTACTATATGACAAACAGCAATGCCTTTCTTTATTCATCAAAAAAAACGGCAATGCCTTTCTTTCTTTCTCAAACACTTCTAAAAAATTGCAAAAACTCCAAGTCCAAAGCTTCAAACATTCCAGGAGAGTCCTCTACTAAAGGTTGCTATGACTTTTTTTTCTAGCAATCTCTTCCTTAAAGCTTTTCCCTTGAATGAATCTCCACTTCTAGCAATCTCTTCCAATCTAATGTATGACCAAATGGTCACCAAAAACATCGATTGGCCAGCTACAATGTTGATCATCTAAGGGGCAAAGCTCTCAAATGGACCTTAATCCTTACCCACACCATCAACCCAGTCTGTCCTCCATCAGAACTAAATTCAATGAAACCTCCAGAAAAGTCATTGACGCTTCTAAATACTTCTTTGCTCCAACAATTCAAAGGCGGGTTGAAAATTCTTATCCACATTAACTCTGGAATGTTGTCATGGCCAACTAGTGCCTCCCTTGATATAAAGTAGCGTTTTAGGTTCATTAGCACTCATCAATAGTCTCTCGACAGGCAAGATTTGAGAAAATGGACCCTCTCATCCACCTCTTCAAGGTCCACTTCTAGGAAGAAGATGATTAGCTTTGCCATGATGTAGATTCTTCTCCATCTCTAGCCTATATACAAACCCTCAGGATAACCTCCCCTTCCGGCTTAATTTAGTCACTTACCATTGGGATGGTTTGCTCTGTTGAACTCCATCTTCTGGGAGCTCCATCTTCTTTTTTTTATAAGAGAGCTCCATCTTCTCCCATAATCTTCATTTCTGAGATAACAATCCCATTGATATCTAGACCCCTCTGGGGATTGCAAATCATTGGCATTGATCAAAATAGTCTTGTTATGTTTAATCTCCCTACAAAATATTTGGATTGTCAATGTCCCTAGGAGTCAAATTCACCTCATAGTAATTTGGGACCCAATAGCTGAATGTGTTAAAAGAAAGTTTGCTTCTTGGAAGGGTGATTTGGGGCTCAAAAACGTAAGCATTTCAATAAAGCAATTTTAAACAAATGGCATTAGCAGATCAACACCTAAAGGGGAAGTGATTAGTGGTCTCCAATAGAAGCAAGATTTGGGCTGAAAGAAGGAAGATGGGACCCTAGCATGGTTCTCGCTACATATGGCTGTCCTGTGTGGAGAAAGATTGAGAAAACTTTTGACTTCTTTAGTCCATTGAAGGAGGTTTTGCAAACACTTTTGTTGTGGCTGAAACTACAAAAATTTTAACCCAAAGGCCTGTTGCATAGATAGAAGTTGTAGGTGGGAAAAATATGACTACTTCACAGATAAATCTTGTGTGGCATCCCAAGCCGAGGTGCCCAGAAAGGTAACTTTCATGTTAATGACAGTACATGTAAATAAGTGTCCTACGAAGTAAAATTTTGTAAGAAAAGATAATGGGCATTTCACCTTGGGGTTGCACATTTTGAAGTCATTCCCATGAAATTCGTTGATCATCTATTTGTCTATTGCACCATCAGTTCAAAGATCTGGTGCTTTTTTCTTAGATGCCTGAGTGTTGACTGTTGACTGGATATTCCCAAGATGGCAGGTATTTGGGTCGTCTAAACCAGAAAGGGAGAATGATCCCAAGAGCCATACAGAAGCACATTCAAGGAGATACGGAAGCTAACAAGGGGAATGATGGTGGATCATGCCCAGATACACAAATCAGCAAACACTTCAGCTGATGCACTATCCAAACAAGGAGTAAATAGAGATCACTTATCTTGGAAAGGATTAGGAACTGGAATGAAATCCGAAAACTTTTGTCTAGTGGCAGTAACCATGTACATAATTTATTCTTTCATATAATCAAGAAAGTTACCAGTTACCAGTAAACCATCAAAAAATGAAGAGCAATTTCAGAATATTTTTAAAGTTCAACAAAGAAAGGAAGATGAATTTCTTAGAAATTTGGCATCTTTGGTGTTTTCTCGGTTATCGGTAGAAGAGACATTCGGAAATGTCCAAGTTTCTCTTTGTGGATGAGCAATCTATCACTGTATAGTTTTTGGGATCTTCTCCCCTGCATCTTTTCAAGTTTCTCTTCAATGATAAACTTTTCTCAAAAAAAAAGGTTCAAGATAATGGCAACAGAATGGAAAACAAATATGTAAATAAATCTCTTAAATACCTTAGGAAGGAAAACATAACGCTTTAGCTGAAAATTAAGAACATAAGGAAGTGTGCGCAGTTTAATACAACGGGTTGCATTAACTCGCTCCCCACAAGACTCACAAAAATATTGATTATCACCCTTCAGCTCTTCCACGCTTAGGTAATCATCAAGACTCTCATTCAAATTTTTCATATCCTTGATATTTAACTCAAGCTCATAGAAGTCTTCCATCTTTGATGAAGCTTCAGAATCTCTTCCACACATTGAGCACCTGCAAAATACCAAAACAAAATAAAATAAAAAATGGTGCCCAAATTACTTTGAGAGGTTGTCTTCAACAGTAGGATGTACTGAAGGAGCAAGATGCAATGGTGCATCTTAAACACCTACTCCATAGGGATATAAAGAGGGGAAAATAACAATAGTATGAAGAACAAGCCAGAAACTGACTAAAAAATATGATTTATTTATATTAAGAGAGATTTAATGGAGAAATATACTCTTTTCACAAAGATCCAAATGAAACTTCCATCTTCCCAAAATGCTGTTCCAAAAATTTAAAAACAGCGTTCAGTTCGGTATCCAAATACAATAAATGGTGTTGATACATCTTAGATGAAACATAACCGAAAGAGACTGGGAAAGTAGATATGGATGGTGTAAATAGAAGACTCATGACTTGGAAGCCATGTCATAGAAAAAAGATAATGTGCTGTCAAGTCATTTACAGGTAAAGAAGTTTCTTGGAGAGAGGCTGGCTTCAAATGTTAACCAATCTGAGATAGAAGAGGATTACCTTAATGGCAAGGATACAAGAGTGCTGGGTTGGTTGACATTAACACCTCAATAATGGAAAGGATACAAGGACTGAAATCAATGAAATCCATTCTTGCTTCTTTTCCACCTCCATCCAACCACTAGGTATCAGCTTTGTTAAATTAGGCTTTTTGTCTTCAACCCCATTCCCTGTAGGCTGAATATTGTTGCAGGCTTGCAGTTTGCTGGGCTCAGATTCCTATTAGCAATATTAATGCTCTTTTACTGAATGCAGATGGGTATGGATCTAAAAATCCTTTGGGTGGGGAGTAGAAGAAAGATCAAATAAGAAAGAATTTGGGAGTTGTGCAGGTAAACAATCCATCATGTGACCTTTGGCTTGGAGACCAACCTCTTAGCTTGCAATTCCCTAATCTCTATGCTCTGTCAAACCTAATGGCTGAACCTATAGCAAGGGTAGCTACACCCTCAAAATCTGGGTTAAACTGGGATTTAGGGTTTAGAAGGGGTTTGAGAGATAATGAGTTTGATTCTCTACCTGTCCTTTTGTCAATGTTGGAAGTTGTTTACCTGGACCAAAATAGCTGTGACAATAGAATTTGGCATCCAGCTTTAGATAGTTTATTTTCCTGTTCTTTCCTCAACATACTTGCCCAGTCGGCTAGTGTGGAGGTAAACTTTCCCCTAAGAGAAATATGGTGTAAACCAATTCCTCCTAAAGCACAAGCTCTTTGCAGGGAGATGTTTCTAGGGAAGGTAAACACTTGTGACATGCTACAGAAAAAAAAAAATGCCAAACATGTGCCTTTCTCCTCATGTGTGTGTTCTCTGCAAGGCTTGTGGTGAAACCCTCTCTCACTTACTGCTCTCCTGCTCATTTGTTTCTTATATGTGGGACTATTTCTGTTCTCTTTTTGGATGCAGATGAATTCTCCCACAAGACATAGCGAGTCTCTTCAACCCAACCTTCCTAAGGCAACAAAAGAAAAGGGGAAGATGCATGTAGAAGACAGTACATACTGCTGTAGTTTGGTCTATTTGGGAAGAGAGAAATCAGAGGATTTGCAATGAAAAAAGTATATCCTTAGAGGTGATTGAAGCCATCAAAATCTGATCGGTACATTGGGTCAAAACATTGGAATTGTTCAAAGGTATTCCCACGGATGACTACTTAAGAAATTGGACAGAAGTGGCACTCTCAGAACCACATAGAAAAACTATAAGAGTGGAGTGTAAACTACCAGGGGTAAATAAACTGACACTAAACTTCGATAGGAGTTCATTTGGCAACACAGGAAGAGCAGGAGTAGGGGGAGTCTTTCGAGACCATCATGGAGTAGTGTTGGCCAAGACCAATTGGGTTTGCAGACTCGATTCAAGCTGAATCAAAGGCTCTATGGCAAGGACTGAAGCTTGCTGAACAGTTAGGGGCAAGAGAGCTGGAAATTGAAGGAGACTCATTTCTGATTATAACATGGGCAAAGCAAATTGAGTCAGCACCTTCGAAGCTAAGATTCACTTTTAGACAGATTGAACAACTTGCAAAGAGATTTAACTCTACTTTCAATTGGGTTAAAAGGGAAGCTAATGGGTTGGCAGATACATTAACCAAGCAGGGAGCTAATAGACCATCCTTATTTTGGGCATTATTGTAAACTACTTTGTTTTGGGAAGTATTGCATCTTAAATTCAGATTTAAATCAATAAATGGATTCCTTTGCTGATCAAAAAGAAAAAAAAAAGTGATCCATCATGTGACCTGGTTTGGGAGTTTTTTTTTCAGGAAAAGCAGAAAAATTCATCCATGGAGTGTGACAGGCTATCATTCATCTGCCATACATCAACAACCCTTGTTGGTCAGGACAATTGGGAGAAGGGTGAAGAGATGGGAAGGGTTGCAGGAAAAAATTGGGTTACCAGTCAACTAGGGCTTGAGAACAGAGAGAAGATTGGAGTTCACTTGGGTAATCCAATTGAATCTGAAATACTTTCAAATGGACAGAGGTGGAAATACTTGTATGATTATATCCACAGAAATAAGACCTACTCTATAGAAGTGAACTGATCTGAGATCAAGGAGAGCAATCCAGTAGAAAGGGAGGTTAGCTGGAATATGATGGGTTACAGAATGTATTAAAAAGAATGGCGATCAAAGAATTGTTGACAAAAATAAAACCACAGACCATGTTTATGCAAAAGAATGAATTGAAAACTAACAACAGCAATAGGTGAGGAGAATTTTGGTGCCAGTGAGAAACGTTGAACTCTTTTTATCTTCTTTTGGAACTTAAAGAGGAAATGTTAACAATATGGGGTGAAGGATGATATGACTGTTTAGAGAAGTTGGTGTAAGCTTTATCTGTGTCTATTAGATTAGAAGAAGATAGTTTTAAATGTTATTTATTAGATTAGAAAAAGCAGATAATTTCAAGTGAAGTTAGCTAAATTTATGGTTTTGTTTCTCATGGCGAAATGAATCAAATTTTCAGATGAAATTTATTACTAAGAGCCTTTTGGGACCACACTTGGTGTGGGTGGTCACTTTAATTCAATGCAGTTTTGCAATAAGAAGAATGTAGGAGTCACTAGGATTACTCAAAGCATGAGGATGCTTGGAGAATTTGTAAATGTTTTTTTGTTGGTAACTGTTGGAGAAATATGAACCTTCCCCCTTCTGAATGCCAACCATACTTGGTCTAATATGATAGACAGACCCCATTTGTTGTACGCTGGACAGATTTCTTATTAGTTATTGGTGTCGGACAAAACATTTACCAGACACAACACTGGATATTACATGGATACTTCTTAATGAGCTCTATAGCACCAACACATTTCAAATTTGTAATTCATCAAAAAAACACTTAAAAAATATGAACCAGTACGTGTCAGAAATTTAATTAAATTTGCCAAGACATAGGTCTTGAGAAATGACATTTAGCTTCAAAACTAGATAGAAAAGCATGATATGAAATAACATCATAGTCTTGAGAGTCATATCCCAGTCTCCTGTGTCTCTGTCCTTTATCTGAATCTGAGCATCATAGTATTACTATTTTAGAAGAATACAGCAATTGGCTCTCCCCAAACCTATCTTCTAATCAATGTCTATTTATGAAGCTGTTTGGAATCATGGCATAATGGTGTTGTGGAACCATTACGCCACCACATAAGTGCTACATAGGTGTTTAGCCTCCAACGGCCAGAAAACTATTTGGAATGGGTGGTTTCTGGTGCAAACAATTGTCGAACAGTCATGCAAGGTAAACCATGCAGGTACCTACCCAGGTGTCGGGACCTCACCCCTGCTCATGTGGCATCTGACGTGGCAGCCATAAGCTGTGATTCAATATGTCATGGCCATTTGTTACAAGTTTTCACTAAATGTCATGTTTCTTGTGATTCCAAGAATCATAAGAGGGCTATGAGTGAGGAACCTAAGTCACTGCTCCAAGTTCAGTGTTAAGCTCATTGAAGAAGGCAAGAAGAAACTTTCTATGGGACGGATGAAACGATGAGAAGAAATTTCATCTAATGGTGTGGAAGCAGGTATGTATGCCAAAAAAGAAGGGAGCATGGGTATCAAACCCCTATTGGGTATGTAATTATGGTGATATGCAGTGGAAAAGAATGACTTGCAGAGGAATGTAATCAGGAGTAAATACAGCAGTGATGAATATGTTTGGTCAACAGGTTGAACTCATATGGTACAAGTATATGGAAAGGGGTAATGAAAATCCAAGATGAGTTCTCTCAGTTCAAGGCCTTTAAAGTTGGTAATGGTGAGCATACATCTTTCAAGAAGAATAAATAGTGTGGCTTAAGACCATTAAGGTCCTCTTTCCACAATATTTACAGGCTGGCAGTAAACAAAGAAGCTTCCATAAGACAGTGCTATGATATAATAGTGAGGGAGGAGTCTAGGCCCCAGGAATGAGGAGATATGTCCATACTGGGACCTCAAGGAGATGACCCTTCTGCTAAAATCAAATTTCTGGAGTGAAGGTTGGCCCAACTCCAGAAATTCTTGTCTCCGCAGAATCAAAGAGGTGGAAAGGGGGGGAGGAGACAGTTTGGAAAAGAAATGTTACTGTCGATGTTGAGCCGGAAAATGAAGGTGAGGTTACAAAAGATAGTCTCACGAATGAAGATTGAAGGGGGACATTTCAGGAAGGGGTTTTTGATGTGGGTCGGTTGTCGGTTTGGTGATCCTTGTTTCATTGAGGACCTTTATGGGTGTGTTCAGGGTATTTGCTTGGCTATGGTTGGGTTTAATTGTTTGTAAGCTGTGGGTTCTTCAGTTTATTTTGGGTATATGGGGGTGCTTTTGCTCTTTGGTGATGATACCTTACCACCTCTGTTGCATTTCATCCCCATATTATTTTAATAAATTTTTTCGTTATCCTTCAAAAAAATCCCAAGACCAGTTCCTGGGGTCATTATACATATCACTTACTGGAGTGACATCCATAAAGAGCGCCACCTTCTAAGTTTGAGGTGTCATGCTAAAAGTTGTACAAGACAAAGACACCTGTTTTGTCTTGTACAATTTAGAAATGATTGGCATGATCAGTTTTAGTAATGTTAAGTTCTTGGGCTGGCAAGCGTGAAAACATGGGTTTGAGTCTGAGGGCAGTCACTCTGTGCCAAAAAGAAACAAAAGAAAAGCCATAGATTAGGACCATACCCAGTCTACCCCTCCCAAGACCCCTCATAGCTGACACTAACATTGGGTAATGTCCTTTTTTGCTGGCATGATCAGTTTTAGAGAAAGAAAATGAAACAGTGACATCATAAAAGTTGCACCACGATATTTACCAAACAAAAAATGGCAACAAGAAAAATAGGAATAAAAATTATCAAAAAAAATCCTGGTAAACTATTAGGTTAGACAGAGCAGCTTACCGAGTAACATTTGACACACTTCCACGAAAAAGATCCTGAACAATTGTTCTTGCTTTAGAAATTTTGGAGTGCCTTAGAGACCGTTCCAGCAAAGAAAGAAGTAAGGTGAGGAATTCATGGCTATCCTGCTGAACACCATTGTCCAACTCCAAAGTCTTAATAAAAGGAGCTGAATCAATAACAGCCATTTTGCTGGAATGCAACTGTGCAAAAAGTCGTGCAAGTTGATGCAACACAGGTTGTTTCTTCAAAAGATCTAGTTCAATAGAGAAAACACCTCTCCTGAATGCTGTGTTCATGTAAAGGCACTGAAGGATACTATTAGCGTAGCAGGTAGCACCTAGGTTTGTTAAGCCTGCAGGTGATTCATTGGAGACACGAAGATCCTTGCAAGGATCTGGACCAAGAGAAAGGACAATATCTGACATCTTTTGCCATAAGCCAGATTTCCTGGTTCCACCAGAAGGCGGAACCAACCCACAAAAGCAATTCGGATTGTCCTTCGTATTTATACGGCACCCTTGACAAACAGGCTTCCAGATCATATATAGTTGGTGAATATCATCTTCGGTTATCTCACCCGTTAAATGAATTTTCCTAAAAATTGATAAAAAGAAAATATTATAATTATGGACTACTAAGAAGATTAAATGTAGTGCATGTTTTCATGAAAGGAGAAATGCTACCTCAAGATTTCAGATGAAAATCCTTCATTGTTGTCAGGTTTGTGCCTCTTATTTTTACTGCGGGTGGTTGGTCTACTCATTTTTTCACCAACTGAACATCAATGACTGGATTCTGTTTTACGTCCTTCATTTAAACTGAACGAGAGCAACAATTTATATCAGAGGATTAATATGATCAATGCCTGTCATTTGTCATAGAGAAAAGATATCCCACCATTGATGCACCACGCAAGTACTAACTGTTACACATAATAATAACACATACAAATAAACATGGTGAAATCTGCCAAAATGAAGAACAGAAAAGCATACAGTGAAAATTTAAAACATAAACATAAGCTCATAAAAACAAACCAAAATTACAAGGAACAATCTGAAATAAACAAAGTAATGGATATTCACATATGGAAACAGCACTGTTCTCCTCATGTCCTTTTTTATCAATAATCAGAAATTTTCATTAATGGATATGAATCATGTAGGTGGGGAGAGATAAACTCTCCCCCAAAGAAATACAAGATTACAATGAGACCAAAATAAATGATTTCTTCCCAACCCTTGTTTAGAAAGAGCATCTGCAAAGGAATTATCACATCTTTTTACCCACTGCAATCTCACCTCCACGCCTTGAGTCAACCTCTTGAAAAGTCTTCATTCATTGGTGTAAGTCCACATAATCTTCCTTTCCCAGACATCCTATTACAACCTTAGAGTCTCCTTCAATGATCAACCTGTTAACATTTAGTTCTTTAGCCCTTTTCACACCCTCCATCAAAGACAAAATTTCTGCTCTCAGCGAGTCCCCATGATCAATTGGGCAGGACATAGCTATAACTGAGCCTTCCTCCATTCTAAAAACTTCACCAATCCCTAAAGGTCCATTGCTACCTTCACTGCTACCATCAAAGTTTAGCTTGATGAAACCAACACAAGGCAGAGACCATAAATGTTGCATAATATTTCTGCTTAGAGTAGAAGCTGCCACTTCCTGCCAATTATTCAGTAGAGGCTGCCACACTTTCATTGGCAATAAGGATTTGATCAATAATTTGCTTATTCATGACAAAAGCTCCTTGATTTGGAGAAATAATGATAAGAAGCACAGACTTAATTCTCTGAGACAACACCTTTGCAATGATTTTGTCCACACTATTTACCAAGCTAATGGACCTAAATTCCTTAGGATTTTGTACATGTGTTCTCCTCATGTCCTTCAACAAGATAATTTTGTATATCCTGAATTACCAAATGATGAAGCCAACTCATATGAATTCAAGTATCATGGTATTCATCATTCTTGAGAGGCAACCAGAAAGGCAAAGCAAAAGAACAATGAATTACAGGAAATGCTAACCAATCAACACAAGCTCCATTTATTTGATCCTTAAACTAAACAAATAAAATTTGGCACTACAGCAGGTCATCTTCATTGTGAGCTGGGCGTAAACAAATAAGTGAAATGAAAACAGAGAAGGCAAGAAGGATCTCAACTAAATTTAATTATTCTTAAACACGTGTTACCAACATCTACATGCATTGGGAAAGTAGAGATTCTTAGTTAAGATGAAAGATGTAAAAAATTAAGAAAAAAAAAACTAAATTTTAAGTTTGATTTTCACAAAGTAAAGGAAAAGAAACGATAATAAGCATACGAAATATTAGAATATGTTCTTAGAGTCGAACAGGAAGCATTAGGCATAAGACTTTCTTCAACGTTGGTGTTTTCTTGATCGATTTCCTCAACCTCCGCTTAGCTTCTAATAGTAATAAAGAGGGGAAGGGAAAGAGTACAGTTAAAACATTTCCTCCAACAGACGTATTAGCTAAGAGTAAGACAGAAAAAATTTGCTATTAGCAGGAATCCAGTACAGATAAATAAAAAAAAATAGAGAACTATTCGATAGTCTAAAACCACTGGTAGCGGCAAATGAGACAGGAAGGGAACTCTAGTGCCCCACCAGAACATCACGGAGAACGACTCACGTTCCTCTCAAGATTCAAGAGAGATATTAAAGCATTTGTTAATTCTAACAAGTACAACAATCCAACGAGAAAACAGCCCCATTTTGTCGAATTCATCCCCAAATTTTCCCGAAATGCAGAAGGGAGACGAAAGTCGAAACCAAGCCCCGCCTGCATTCGAGGCTAAACAACCTCCAAACGAAACCCAGAAAAAAAAAATCGCTGCAATAAAACCTAATTTTGTTGCACAAATGGCTGGTAAAACCAAAACGGGAAAAAATCAGAAGAAAGCAGATATATATTTGAAAGACAAACCTATCAAAAATTCTTATTCCTTCCGGAACAATTCTCTATGGAAAGCGGGGGAAACAAAAAAGAAAAACAAAACTGAAAGATGAAGAATGGGAAAATCAAAAAGACAAACAACTCACCAAGATGCTTGAACAACGTGAACAATTGAAGTTGCTAGGGTTCTTCTGCAAAAGCCTGTTTTAACTTTTAACCTTGCATCTCACGAAAGAGGACGGCGATTCTTCCTGAGGTCAAGCGAGCACATCGAAGGAGTCCACAACCGGGAAATCCTTACTCCTTAGGTGGTGTTTGTCATGGCTGCTGTTTTTGGAAAGAAGTTCGAGTCGTCTACAGTTTTACCGTACTGGATTTCATGTAAGGAATGAAATCATTGTAGCTGGCTGCAATGAGATAGAACCAGACCAGAGGATGACCCCCGTACTAAGTACGGAGTAGCTACACCTACAATATATACTATTTTGTTTAAATTTTCGATAATAAAATATAAACTAGGTTTAATTCTTGAATGAAGCATAATATACCGGCTTTGTTAAGATCAATTCAGGTAGAGTAGCCTTATAACATTCGTAAGTCCAACCCAACCAATATTTTTAGCCTATGCATTGTTAGATTAATTTTCTTTAATTTGTATTAAAGTTTATTAATTTTTATTGTTATTAGATAAATATGTTAATTTTTATTATTTAAATGGAATTTAAGTAGATTTTAATTTTTATTAATAAATTATTATATTATATTGATTTTTTACTAATTAAGCAAAAATTAATTTTTTTGACAATTTAATTAAGAAAAACTTAATTTAAAATATATTTAATGTTTATATCTTTTGAGCAAGATACATTATTAATATCCATTGTCCACTCATTGCTTGGTCCCTTAATGACCTATTGACCTCGGTATTGAAACTTGAAAGACTTTAGATAATAGTTGTAATAATGAGTTGTCTAATCAATTTATTCATCTTTGCCACAAGTATGTTAAAACTTAAAATGGGTCAAATTATATTGAATGGAATTGGCAAAGAATATTAAGGGCTTAAATGGATTTTCTAAACCAAACCATTTAGACCATGGGCTCTCTTTTCAATCGCCAAGATTTGTTAGTATGCTCTAAGAATCTTTGATAAAATAGGATTGTAATTACAATATGTTTTAATTTGGTTATATTTAGGGCAAATTTCTTAAAGTACCCTTATAATTTAGCTAACTAACTAACTCTACCCTTAATGTTTACATATTGTCTTAAAATACTTCCAAGCTTTTAAACAATTCTCTAAACCTCTCTTGTCGTTAACTTTCCGTCACATGTGATATCACTTAATTGATATATTTTCTAAAAATTCTTAAGTTACCCTTTATGACATCATGATAAAGAGCTATAAATGCTTACGGATGCATTTATGGAAGTCCTCTCATTTTAGATTGGTGAAGCTGAAATTTGATCTTTAATGTTATTAGTAAGTGTGCCTTCTTTGCACATAGTAATTCTAGATGATGATGATAATAATAGTAATAATAATGTATCCAAATTTTTTTATATTTTTTATTATTAATTGAATGCGGATTGTAAATACAAAATTCGATTACATGAATGTCTCATCCAAATATGTGGTAATTGGATTGAATTGTGAAGTTTCAAGTATCATTTATAAGCCTATTTGTTTGGATAAATTCTTCCTTTTGTAAATTTAATCTTTTTGTGTATCTTTTTTTTATTCATTTATAAAAAATATGTAGTATTTAAATAGATGGAATCAAATGGAGTGAAAAATAGTAGTTCAATTTACAATTTAAACCCCATAAATAAATATGGACTAAATTCAAAACTAAGTATTTTAGTAAAAAAAAAAAGTTCCACAATCTTATTCATATTTTTAATAGTAGTGTAAATTATAGATGTGCTCAATATTTTCTATAACTTCTTTGCATTTGCGTGTGTAAAAATAATTCTAATATGCCACACTTACTTTTGGTTTAATATGATAAATATATGATATTGTACATGTGCCTAAATGTTTTTTTGCACAATTTATGTTTTCTTTTCTTTTTTGTATTTTTTATATTTTATTAAATTTTATTATTTATTTATGACATTAAAAGTTAACATGTTTGACCCAAAATTTGAACTATTAGTCTTTGCCAAAATGTAAATAATTTTATTTTTGGTCATTTCTAAATTATGCATTTCATTTTCATAACCAATAAAAATAATTCTTATTTATTACACTTATTCCTTTAATTTGATTAATAAAAATATTATAAATGTGTCTAATTTTTCAACATTTTTTGTAAGTGTATATGTTTATGTATATTTTAAAACTTTTATTATCTAACTATCACTTCGTAGGTTGATCGATTTGATTCGGATGTTTTAGTTGCTTAGCCACCACTTGGATTAAAAATGGTTTTGTTTTTTAGTCAATTTTAAAATATATAGATTTATATTGTTAAAAATATTAACACAAATCAAATTTAACAAGGGAAAATAGGAATTAATAATTTAAGTATAAGACTTAATGAGAGGGGATTAAATGAGGTGAAAAGTAATAATTGAAGTTACATTTTCAACCTTTAACATTAGAGATTAACTAAATACACAATTATGGGCATTTTAGTGACCATCAAAGTTGTAATAAAATGGCTTTTATACCCTTTCTCAAACAAAGAAGTAGATGGTAATTTTAGTCCAAAGAAGGTTTCACATTGCATTAACACTTTTATATATACTATAGATAGATATAGATATTGTCTCTCCCAAAAATTATAGATAACCATCAGCATTCTCCATTATTTTCTCTGACCTTTAGGTCACTAAGATGCCATGGTCACCATCTGAAAAAGGCTCCGGTGGGTTATGGGAAACAAAGACAAAGCACTTGTAGGTGTTATTCTATTGTTGGAGGAATCTATGGAAATCCAAACACATGGTGAAGGAAGTTACTTTAGATTCTTACTCACCCTTTCAAATCTAGCAATGACCATTCTATTAATTCCAGGCTAGCTTCAAGATTCTATAAATCTTTTTTTCAATTTTCTGCTATTTTCTTAATTACATATACATAGTATAGTTTTAGAAAAATTCAAAACAGCTTTGTATATAAAAATACATTCGTCATTGGCTGCCATTATAGCTGTTAAGGCAACCAAAGCTTGTAGCTCTTGGCTAATCTTTCTTTGGTAACTGCTCTTGATTCGTTTATGCATTATTGTTGAAGCTTAATCAATCGCTATTGCCTTGAATTTGTTTGGTGTAGGTCTGGTGCTTTAATTTCATTTAGCAAACCTAAGCACTCACCTACACCAATTGAGTTCAGTCCCTCAACGAAGCAGCTTGTCTAGTTTTCTTATTGAGTTTCTCCCATAATTCGGTTTGCAAAGAAGCGGGCACACAAATGTTTATGCAAATCTACTTGTAAATCCCCCTAAACCTAAAACCATAAGAGAAGGTATGTGAAGGAAGAGAACAGAGGCAAAGCATATGCAAGTGTTATTCTATGGTTGATGGAGGAATATGTAGAAATCCAAACACATAGTGAAGAGAATGGAGTTACTTCAAATTCTTATTCACCCATTCAAATCCAACAAAAGTCCATTCTATTAATTCCAGTCTAACTTCAAGATTCTAGAATTATCTTTTTCAGTTTTTTGTTATTTTCTTGATCACATACAATGATTTTAGAAACCTACAAGTCTTTTTTTCAGTTCATTGGATCCATTAAAGCTGAATGCTGATTTGTTCAATCTTACATTTTTAGATCGTAGATTTCTATAATGCAACAGCTAAAGATGGACAAGTGGATGAAAAGATATAGGACGGTTACATTTGTAGAACACGCATCTTTGTCTCTAATTAGCACATTTCCATTTAGAAAGAAAAATCTACATGCATGTTCTCAACCGTTCTTGAAAATTTTCATCTTAGGTGTTATTCTGAAAATTTGAAGAATAGTGGATGATAAATTTGACATTTCATTTTTTTTCTATTTGTATTTAACGACAATGTGCATTGTCAAAAACTTAGGGGTACTTTAAAACAATATATAAACAATAAGGGTAGAGTTAGACAATTAGCTAAACCATAAGGGTAGTTTAAGAAATTTGCCCATATTTTTATCATAGAACAAGCAAAGAAAAACAAAATGGCAAACTAACCATCACTTTCCAAATAAAACTTACAGGAATTTGTAATGAAAGACAATTCTAAGTAGTTTAATTGCTATTGAAGTTGACCATATAAGGATGTAAGAAACTAAAAAATTCAATTAGTAAACATGTATGCGATTGGACAATACTACCATAAATGATTAAGAAAATTTTGAATTCATAAAAAGGCAATCCAAACTTTGTTTTGAAGTTTTGTAAAATACAATTTTATTAAGAGGATACAATCTAATTCTCACCTTTTTGATAGCAAATTAAAATTGGGCCATTGCAATAAAAAAAATCAATATTACCATCCATGAAACCAAAAGGCAAAGTGGCATGATTCCATGTCTAGCCTTTCTACTCTTTTGATCTTTTTATCTTTCTCTCTCCAAGTCTTTTGCATTTGTTATTTTTTTTTTTTCATTTTAATTTTGTAATCCACCCGTTGCAAAGCTTTGAAAAATATATGAGAATAGGTGTAGGTCTTGTAATTAAGTTAGAAAATTTGATTTAAAATTTTAAATTGGGAAATTGAAAGTGGTAGAGCTTTTTGTTTCCTTGATAGAGTGGTTACCGCCCATATCTATGAAAAGTGGTAGAGCTTTTCATACATGATTTCATGTATGTGGACAAACCACTTTACCTAGAGTGGTTACCGCCCATATCTATGAAAAATCACATTTGATTAGAATCTTTTATTTGAATTAAAAAACTATCATTAGAAGTGCTCATTGGAAGTCATGTTATTCCCACTTTCTTCTAGTGTAAATGCTTTTGTGAATTAAGCGTCAATAATAACATATTGAATTTAGTATAGACATGTGTTAGTGCTGAATCGGGTTTCTCTTTCTCAATCTATCTCCTCCCCCCCTCTCTCTTTCTTTATGTTGTGTTTGGTTACAGTGTAATTTTTATTTGTATTATTTAGTACAAATGCATGGGAGTGCAAATGAAAAAAAATGCAAATTCTCATTTAATTTTGTTTTGATTTAATTTTATTATGTTTTATGTCTTAATTTACTTCATTTGTATTGCAATCAAACAAAATAATATAAATTTTAAAACGAAAATTAAGTCAGAATTTACACTTAAATCAATTGCATTGCCACAATTTTGTATTAATGCTAATTCATTTGCATTGCAACCAAACATAGCCTTATGGGTTTCTACTTGTCTTAAGTTGGTATTTTATCCACTAAAAGTTATCATTCTTTTTGTGAATGTGTGCTTACCTGCTCTCATGTTCTTGAAATTAGGTAGGCAAATGTTTAAATTAAAGGA